GGCAAGTGGAGGGTTTTAAGTAGGGCTAAGGAGATTTTTGTTTGGTGGAGCTAGGAATGGAGTTTGGTTGTGCTCTGGAACTGTTTAGCTTTGTGGGGGTTGGATGAGATGTATACTTGCTAGGCTTAAGGTTACACAACTCGTCGGGGTCCGGTTACACAACTGGTCGAGCTTTGGTTACACAACTGGTCGGGCTCCGGTTACATAACTGGTCGGGCTCCGGGGGTGTCACTTGGGCTTTGGGATGTGCATAGTCGAGCTTTGGTTCATGCATGGTTGTGATCCAGAGGTTGTTTGGTTCGTTCATGCTAGGCTTCAGGTTACACAACTGGTTGGGGTCCGGTTACACAACTGGTGGGGCTCCGGTTACACATCTGGTCGGACTCCGGTTAAATAACTGGTCGGGCTCCGGTTAAATAACTGGTCGGGCTCCGGTTAAACAACTGGTCGGGCTCCGGTTAAATAACTGGTCGGGCTCCGGTTAAACAACTGGTCGGGCTCCGGGGGTGTCACTTGGGTTTTGGGTTGTGCATGGTCGGGCTTCGATTCGCGCATGGTTGTGCTTCAGCGGTTGTTTGTGTACTAGTGCTCCAGGTTTGTTTGCTAAGGCTCTGTTTACATGTTTGCTAGAAATCTGGGTTTCTTTTTTTGTATATAGTTCAATTGTTTGCTATGAGTCAATAGTTGGTGTCTAGGGCAAGTGGAGGGTTTTAAGTAGGGCTAAGGAGATTTTTGTTTGGTCGAGCTAGGAATGGAGTTTGGTTGTGCTCTGGGACTGTTTAGATTTGTGGGGGTTGGATGAGATGTATACTTGCTAGGCTTAAGGTTACACAACTGGTCGGGGTCCGGTTACACAACTGGTCGAGCTTCGGTTACACAACTGGTCGGGCTCCGGTTATATAACTGGTCGGGCTCCGGGTGAACCCGGAGCGCGACTCACCGCTGCCACCATTGTAACGGGGGGTGGGGGAAATAGCTCTAACTTGTCCATTATTCCACCCCCCCAGTTAACTAACGAGGCCGGGGGAAACAGCTCTCTCTAGTCCGTTATCCCGTCTCCAGTTAGCTAACTATTCTAGAGCACTCCCAGAGTTCCTTAGGCAGCCTCTCTCGTTCAACACCTTGTAACCTAGGTATTTGACTACCTAGGTGCTAAGACTACAAGGCGCAGTAACTGGATCAGCTACCCGAAACTCTAGAGAGAACTCTAGAATACAGAATCATTGCCACAAACGTATAGGAGAAAACGAAAGGAAAGAAATGAATAGTGAAGTAATTAGTGAGGGTTTGGGGTGAGAGGTAGGGAGGTGGGAGGAGCGAGGAGGGTCATTAGTTGAAAGTGAGAGTTCAGAGAGGGGTGGAGGGAGAGGTGTAGATAGGTAGAAGTAGAAGAGTAGATAGTAGAAGTAGAAATGCTGCCACCATCCATTCATGATCATTACATACAAGACAAGGAATGGAACTTGTCTGTATCACAATATTCACCAAAGATGTTATCAAGAGATCATTATTAGTATGGTCCCATCTTTATCATGTACTCATTCTAAACCATGAAACCAGTAACCACAGAGGCTTTCTCACCTCAACTCAAAATCTCTAGGGAACAAAATAAACTCCATTTAAATAATAAATTCAACAATTATATTTTTCATGATAAGTATCATAACTTAAGCAATCCAATTAAAATGTTAAAGATTAATATTCAAAGTGAGTCATCCTCCAAGAATCTGAGAACACTACAATTGACTGCCCCTGATCTTCACACAACACTTGTAAAACACGACCAAGTCACCTTACTGCTCAACTCACCAAGTGTGTGCCTATAGCTGGATAGAGAGGGGGGGGGTCTGTAGTTGACGGAGACTCCCGCCCTGCCGGCCGACAGCCTCCCTGCTAGGGCCGTCTGCTCTGCTCTGCTGACTGCCGTTCTTCTCTGTCTTGTTAATGCTAATGCTCCCGAATCGATAGCTCTCCGAGTATATATTGGGGAACCTAGTAGCTAACTCCGCCCACAAGTAGATAGCCTCCGGCTCTCTACCAAGCCACTCCTTAAACGTCGGCATGTTTGAAGGCTACCCGGCTCCAATTATGAGATTAGCAGAAGCAAGGTGAAATTCACATGATCTGAACTCAGGTCACTTGGGGTCATTAACGCTTTGAGGTGTGAGATCTCAGGCCGACAACCTGGCGCCTTTCTCAAATCCTTGTCTGTGACTCATGTACTATATATATTCTAAATAAACTAAACCAAACACTTTACAGTGTTACAGCGTCACTTGGGCTTCGAGTTGTGCATAGTCGGGCTTTGGTTCATGCATGGTTGTGATCCAGAGGTTGTTTGGTTCGTTCATGCTAGGCTTGAGGTTACACAACTGGTCGGGGTCCGGTTACACAACTGGTGGGGCTCCGGTTACACAACTGGTCGGGCTCCGGTTAAATAACTGGTTGGGCTCCAGTTAAATAACTGGTCGGGCTCCGGTTACACAACTGGTCGGGCTCCGGTTAAATAACTGGTCGGGCTCCGGTTAAACAACTGGTCGGGCTCCGGGGGTGTCACTTGGGTTTTGGGTTGTGCATGGTCGGGCTTCGATTCGTGCATGGTTGTGATCCAGAGGTTGTTTGGTTGGATCATGCTAGGCTTGCAGTTAGACAACTGGTCGGGCTTCGGTTTCACAACTTGTTGGGTTCCGATTGCATACCTCCAGGGGTGTGACTTGTTGGGCTTTGGGTTGTGCATGGTTGTGCTCCTGTTTGTACATGGTTGTGCTCCAGAGGTTGTTTGTGTACTAGTGCTAAAGGTTTGTTTGCAAGGGCTCTATGTTTATATGTTCGCTAGAAATTCGGGTTTCTTTTCTTGTATATAGTTCAATTGTTTGATATAGCTCCATATTTGGTTTCTAGGGCAAGTGGAGGGTTTTAGGTAGCGCTAAGAAGATTTTTGTTTGGTCGAGCTGGGAATGGAGTTTGGTTGTGCTTTGGGACTGTTTAGCTTGGTGGGGGTTAGATGAAATGTATACTTGCTAGGCTTATGGTTCCACAACTGGTCGGGGTCTGGTTACACAACTGGTTTAGCTTCGGTTACACAACTGGTCGGGCTCCGGTTAAATAACTGGTCGGGCTCCGGTTAAATAACTGGTCGGGCTCCGGGGGTGTCACTTGGGCATTGGGTTGTGCATGATCAGGCTTCGGTTCGTGCATGGTTGTGCTTCAGCGGTTGTTTGTGTACTAGTGCTCCAGGTTTGTTTGCTAAGGCTCTGTTTATATGTTTGCTAGAAATCTGGATTTCTTTTTTTGTATATAGTTCAATTGTTTGCTATGAGTCAATAGTTGGTGTCTAGGGCAAGTGGAGGGTTTTAAGTAGGGCTAAGGAGATTTTTGTTTGGTCGAGCTAGGAATGGAGTTTGGTTGTGCTCTGGGTCTGTTTAGGTTTGTGGAGGTTGGATGAGATGTATACTTACTAGGCTTAAGGTTACATAACTGGTCGGGGTCCGGTTACACAACTGGTCGAGCTTCGGTTACACAACTGGTCGGGCTCCGGTTATATAACTGGTCGGGCTCCAGGGGTGTCACTTGGGCTTCGGGTTGTGCATAGTCAGGCTTTGGTTCATGCATGGTTGTGATCCAGAGGTTGTTTGGTTCGCTCATGCTAGGCTTGAGGTTACACAACTGGTCGGGGTCTGGTTACACAACTGGTGGGGCTCCGGTTACACATCTGGTCGGGCTCCGGTTAAATAACTGGTCGGGCTCCGGTTAAATAACTGGCCGGGCTCCGGTTACACAACTGGTCGGGCTCCGGTTAAATAACTGGTCGGGCTCCAGGGGTGTCACTTGGGCTTTGGGTTGTGAATGGCTGGGCTTCGGTTCATGCATGGTTGTGATCCAGAGGTTGTTTGTTTGGTTTGTTCATGCTAGGCTTGCGGTTAGACAACTGGTCGGGCTCCGGTAACACAACTTGTCAGGTTCCGATTACATTACTCCGGGGGTGTGACTTGTTGGGCTTCGGGTTGTGCATGGTTGTGCTCCGGTTCGTACATGGTTGTGCTCCAGTGATTGTTTGTGTGCTCGTGCTCCAGGTTTGTTTGCTATGGCTCTATGTTTGTTAGAAATGGGTTTCTTTTTTTTTGTATATAGTTCAATTGTTTGCTATGGCTCCATAGTTGGTTTCTAGGGCAAAGGGGAGTTTTTGGTAGCGCTAAGGAGATTTTTGTTTGGTTGAGCTAGGAATGAAGTTTGGTTGTGCTTTGGGACTGTTTAGCTTGTTGGGGGTTGGATGAGATGTATACTTGCTAGGCTTACGGTTGCACAACTGGTCGGGGTCCAGTTACACAACTGGTCGGGCTCTGGTTATGCAACTGGTCGGGCTCCGGTTACACAACTGGTTGGGCTTCGGTTACACAACTGGTCGGGCTCTGCTGACACAACTGGTCGGGCTCCGGTTACACACTGGTCGGGCACCTGGGCTTACCCTCTTTGTGTAATGAAATTTTAAAATAAAGTTAGATATATATACACACATACTAAAAGTATAGGGGTGGTAGGAGAAGAAAATATCAAATATCAAAGTGTTCAGTGAGGATCCACAAGGTCTTCTCTGGGTACTCTTTATTTTCTTCTCTGAGGCTATGGGTCCCTACACTTGCACCAGAGGTGGTACCCCTTTTAGGTTAAAATATATATATATATATATATATATAATATATATATATATATATATATATATATATATATATATATATATATATATATATATATATATATATATATATATGTATATATATATGTATATAATATGTGTGTGTGTAAATATATTATGTGTGTGTGTGTGTGTGCAGACATAATATTAATAAAACAATTAACATCGTGTAGTGTACTCTATACACCAAAATATATTACTTTGAAACCCGTATCAGTCACTAAACAAAAAATTGGGCTACTCCTGTTACAAATTCGCTACTTTTTGACCGTCAGCTCGCTACTTTTAGCAATTTGGATCATCTGGCAAACCTGGATCCGGGACGATCCGGGGCTGAGAACGCCCCGAGTGTAAACACTGGCCACACGTGTCTCCCAGGGCTCCCGGGACCAGTCTCAGGAACAGGAACAGTCACAGGAAACGTCGCCGCCCTAAACATCTACAAGCACCACCTTTACGCAACCTGCAAACACAATAAAGAAGAAAGGAAAAACCTTAATAACAAACGCATCGCGAAGGAGGGCAACAGGATTGCAGGAAACAATAAAGGTGCCCATCAGGGTCTAAAATCACACACACACAAAATTCTTTAATCAAACTGTAAACAGCATAGTCAGGTTCTGGATAATACGGGCTCACCATAGCCCGTGCTGCTTGAAACTTTTTGTTCCAGGTAGCGAATCTTTTAACTACAACATCTGGATTGTGTGTGGGATCCATTGTGATCCAAACTGTAGAGATTTGAGGTAAACAACCTCCATATTCATCATCAAGACACAACTTGATAGTACTGCAGTCCAGGACAGACTAAAACAACATTGTTTCTTCATTTTCTGATGTGTGGTTTGGCCATCTGTTGCTCTGCTGCCTTCCTGATTCGTGTATATTCATTCCTGGCCCTCTAGTGCCTCCCTGTTTGCTTCCGTACCCATGTGCCAATACTTTTTCCATGTCTTTTCTGTCTTCTCTGTTTCCTTATTACACTGTTGAATTATAGATTTGCTGATCTTCATTCCTCCACTCCTCTCCTGAGAGGTGCCTCATGAGTCGGGCTCGGCCCTGGAGTGCAAATGTTTAACCCCCTAAGGAGCTACTGTAAAGCTGCTCAGAAAGAGGTGTTATATTTCAGTTGATGTCATAGGCTTTACCATTACAAAATAAGTTGCATGAAATGAACACTGTATAGTACTTGAAGTGATTCATCAGTGTAAAATATTATTTAAATAATAATAATTATAAGAGGGTGAAATATTTCTGTTGCTTTATATATTTTTGGATGTGTGAAAACTGTCATGTCGAAACTTACCTGGTTAGGCGAGAACCCCATCATTACGATTTTCATGTATCCTGATACAGTACATGATTAATATTTCCAGGTCAGATTTTTGCCTGATGCGCTGAAAATTCTCATAAATAGGGCTTGGATAAACTATTCCACTGTACGATCATCCAATAAAATCAGCAGACGTCTAGATGTTACTGCTGCTTGGCTTAGATTCGGTTACAAGTATCTCTGGGAACTCTTATTATCTGCTGATGTAGACCTGACCAAATGTAAACTGTGTCAACAAAATTATTCACACACAATCCGTCACTATGTGATGGAGTGCAAAAAAGATATGTGAATTCAGAGACAATTCTATAGCATATGTTCCAAAGGTGTGTAAATATTTAATTCAAAATGATCTGCTGCCAGAAAGTTTAGCCAAATATCCCCAGTGTACTAACTGTAGGTAGTAACTATGTGATTGTAACTTGTCCACCACTGCCCACTGGATGGGGGGCGGTGTGCAAAGCAAACACATAAATTGTGACACTAGCTCTCCACATATGTCAGTTGCTTAATTTAAAAACTGTACTTTTGGTCGATTTTGAACTCATTGTTGATGTGACAATGTATATTGAATTTTGTAACTAGCTCATCAAGATTGTAACTTGCTTAGCTAAATGAATTGGGTTCAGTCCCTGAGCCCATTATGTGCCTCTGTAACCCTTTCTACTATCGCCCACAAGATGGGTATGGGGTGCATAATAAATGAACTAAACTAACAGAAAAAAGTCCACTACGGGCTCACCATAGCCCGTGCTACTTGGAGCTTTTTGTTCCAAGGAGCGAATCTTAAACAACAACAACAGTAAAGCACACACATTTGGTTATTTGAATACTGTACAATACTGTATAGTATTGAATAATATTAAACAAATTATTTATAATAGTACTAATGCAGGTTTTATATAGTATACAAAGATTGATCTGTACTGTGATAGGTTTTAACATTTGTTCTAATAATAAATATGTAATTTTTTTCAGGAAATTGTGGGGTAATATGGATGAGCTTCCCGGGCAATGTAACTATCTGTCCCTTGGAGCAGCTAGGATCCAAGAAATCAAAGCCATCATTTCAAAGCTAGGTATGTTGAAGAATTCATAATTGTTGAGTTGTACTTTCAATAACTGTACTGGTTAGTAATTATGTAAGTATTTGAACTAAAAAATGTTAGTTGTGTTGTCTGGGAGAGCTCCTATGGTGCTTCTTGGTGTTTGCTACCTAGCAAGCTCCACCCAATTCAATCCATGCCAGGCCCTTGCATGTCATATAAGCTTATCACAGACCAGAGGCCAAAACCTGGCCCCTGTTACCTATCGTTCGTTACGGCTCGTGACCCTACAACAGCCAAGCTTTAATTATGTCTAGGGATCCTACAACTGCTGTTCTCTAAAGCGGGTCACCAGTGTAACTCCATGAATGATAACAGGCACAGAATTAAAAGTATATCTCCCTTAGGACTGAGGAAATATACGTATGCATTTTAATATATATATATTCAATATACATCTCAATAATATATATATGAACAGAGGGTCACTATTAAAGCAAACATCAAAATATTGTCTCTCCCAGAATAAAGATCTACTACATGACACAACAACAAGTAAACAGACTTATCTCCCACATGTTATTCCTTCTGGTCCCTTGAAGCTACTGACTACTCGCGCACCGTCTTTCATAATTCTCTCCCCCTCTGCCTCATCCATGATGAGGGATGGAAACTAAAGACTTTTTAATATTTAAAACTAATTGAACAACCACTTGTTCTCAAAACACATAAGAATGCAAATAAAATGAGAATCGACTTGAGAATGGTCCAGGACGGACCGAAACGTCGTCGTCCCTTCAACTTCTAGTGTGTGGTCTGGTCAACATACTTCAGCCACGTTATTGTGACTCATCGCCTGCATGCAAATAAAATATAATAGTTACTTTCAAAATATATGTTACAATGCCACCTGCTTAAATACTGTAAATTAATAATTATATGATAATTAAAAAGTGACATCTGGAACTCCCATAACTGAACAGGTTATGGGAGACAATTCTAATTTCCCGAATCTAACAGGTATTAGACGTGTGAAGAGCCACCGCGCTCTTGTCCCCACTGACATTGCCACACCACACGATAATTTATGAAATGGAACAAAATAAGTTTATTTAAATTTATATACGTATCCAGCTAGGAGTACGTAACAGCCCCATCCCCCATTCTAAAGAGTTGCAAGGAGCAAGAGTCATAGTTCACCACCAGAAAGGTGTGTGAACAAAAACATACACATGGTACATACAAATAGGTAAACAAAACGTATACAGCAGAACAGTGAAGCCCCAAGATTCAGGAATAACTCGGTGGTGGTGCAATTCTCTCATTGGTTCTACCTGCACACCACTAGGTAACTGTACACTTTCATTCTTAATACACCACCCTTGACACCTCAGTTATATTGCATGCCGCTTATGTCGGTGACATTTGCTGGTAAGCTCTTTTTCTTGCTCTAGAATCCTTAGTCTCAGATAAGTGCTGCCATCCTGGATTCTGTTTTTGTCATGTGGGGCCATTTATGTGTTTGTTTTTTATGTGTTCTTCATGATGTGTGTATATTTTAGCTTTACGTCTTGAATGGGCTCTTGATTAACTGTTTATCTTGAACTGCATGTGTCTAGAGTAATCATCTTGATGTATTAAGAAAACAAAGAGTTAGTATAAATGGGGTCAAGTAAAGAGTGGGAAAGCTCGAGGGTTTGTGCGGGAGCCTGAACTTTGCCGTGATGGTCTACCCGCCGGGTCGGGTTTGGCTTCGTCGGATGTCCTGGTTCTTTCGGGGACGTCCTTTCTGCCTCTCACGACTGCTGGATTCGTCCTCTGGGGGCCCTTGTGTCGGCAGTTGCGTCGCTGGCTTCCTCTTCGGGTTTCTCGGGGTTCAGTGCCGTGGCGGCGTCTACCCGAGTCCTCGCTCGATGTGTTCACAAATGCTTCGTCTATTGGCTGGGGCTTGGTGACCAGTGCTCACCAGGCCGGCCAGGGGCGGTGGGGTCCGTCCTTCTGTCGGGCCCACAGCACGGTGCAGGAGTTCGCAGCAGTGTGGATGTCGCTTCACAAGATTTGGGGTCACTCGCGGATCGATGATCAGGCTCCATTCATTCGGACTGCTTCCCGGTGGTTCATTGCCTGAACTGAGGGTTCATTGACCCCTTCACTTCGACATGGTCGAGGTGTCTTCCGGTATATGTGGCGCCCTATGTGGCATTATTTGTTCTTAAATTTTATCAGTTGTATATATTTGCTGACATTAATTGAAGGTTATCAAATATAATCTTGGGCTCTACTGTTAATTTGTTTTTGTTTTCTTAATCCTTGGAATAAACAAGGAAACATCCTGTGTGTCTTTGCTAGCATCTAATAATCAAGTAATAATCTAGAGTGAACTTGCTGGCATATTCAATTCTTACCACTCATTTTCTTTGGGTTCAGTGCTCAAATAATCTGACCACTACTAGGTCAGAAGTTTTACCAATTGTAATTACAGATGGTACAATTACCACCTGTAATTTTTTACTATAAACAGGAAAATATATATGTCATGACAGACTGCTGATTGTCAGTGTGTGTGAAAATAGAATATCCAAGGAAACACACATTTCTAATAATCTTTGTTCAAGGTTAGATTTTATTGTTTTATTTTTGGATAAGACTTCACATTTTGAGTTGTTGTTTAGTGCAATAACCAGTCCCGTCGATGTAGTGTCCAATCCAAATAATATTTAATTTTATTGCTAGAGTTAATATTGGCATAATCTACATGTTTCGTTTTTGTCTTCCAGATAAATGTGAACATGGCGGTCGGGCTTTCCAAAATCTGCCACGTCATATGCAGAGAAGAGCAGTGTCATCGCATCCAAAGCGCTTGCCAAGATATCTTCAAGAAAGACACAAAAGAGAAGTAAAAATCTTAACTTCCTTAACTTAACTTAAATCTAACTAAAAAAAAAAGTAACTTCCATTCTGTAAACTAGTGTTAATTTGTAATTTACAGGCTGACATATACTGTACTATAAACAGTATAGTGTAGTACATGCCCCTTTATTTTATTTTGTATTAAAAAACATTAATCACTATAACTGGATAGTGCCTGAGCAAGTTGCATCAGATTATAAATATGTACTGGTATTAAATGGTGCATTTTATTGGGAGCTGGTCCCATTAACCCTTTGGCTGAAATGTGCAGCCAAAGGGTTAATGGTTCAATAAATAATTTAAATAAACAGGAATATAAGTAATTGTGATACGTTAGTTTCAGTAACTTTTAACACATAAGTTATTACCAGGGAATTTACTTTCACACACACACACACACACATAAAATGTCGCACCTCAAGTATGAAAAATATTTACACAACTAGGTACTGTTGTATATAATAAGAGTCCCAAGATGCTTCCACAACCAGAAAGACTTCATAGTCCTCCTCCAGTTTGATGGACCCACTAGATGGGTCCATCAAACTTCCTTTCAGTGCCCTGTCTTAGTATCTTGACTAGCTTGACTAGCCTCGGGCTTGAGTCCTTATCTGATTAATTATTCTTGGTTTTTTAAATAAACTAAATATTAAGTACATATTGGCCAATAAGCTTTCTCTGTGCATTAAACTCATGGTTGATGGGTTCAATGGAAATTTCAACATGCTGAGTTCCCTGTTAATTGTTGGGTTGAGTGAGCTGGCGAACCCTTTTCTCTGGTACTTATTTATCTACATGCTTATTATTTATTATTTATCTGGTGCTTATTTATCCACATAGCCTCGTCCTGTGTGGTCTGGTAATAACTTCATTTGGAGCTAAGTCACAGTGGTTATTTGAGAGGGTGTCAGTGATAGGAATCTGACTCCATATCATGATAGGCATTGTATATCCTCTACATGTTCCATTATTCATGTAGTTTACCTGTAGACAGTTTTAAGATTTGTTTACTCTAAGTCTGGCTCTCTGGTAAAGACTTGATCAGTAAGGCAGCTGTTCAAACACATCAGTCAGCTAAACTGGACCTTTCCCAATATTTTCTGGTGTAACCAACCTCAAAAAGTTTTTACTTCTACAAATTGTTAAATCAAGTGGTATTCCATTCTACTTAATATTTTCATTAACAGCAAGTAAGTAGTGTACTGTACAGTACTGTGTTATAATAATTTAATGTAAATGCAGTACAGCATTTTGTGTAGTTATGCATCATTTAGTTAGGCAGCCTGGTCATTAGATTTTCCTGTAAATAACATATTTGTTCAATATACTTTATAGGGAGGTGCAAATGTTAAGCCTAGTCACCGTCCTAGAAGAAAGTATCGTCGCCGACCATTCAATTTGTTGGCCGAGTACAACCGACGTCAGAAGGAATTTGTGTGGTTAGAAACTCACATATGGCATGCCAAGCGCTTCCACATGAAAAGACTGTGGGGTTATGCACTTCCAGAAAGTCCTACATTCAAAGGCTACAGGGCAACCCTACGAGCAGCCACACAGTCCTGTCTTCTCCAGGTATGCACACACCTAGTACAACGCAGTCTATTTTGAACTTTTGGCTTGAGTACAGTACTGTATGTAGTTGTGTACTGTATTTGGTAGTTGGGCAATTGTAAACAGAGACAGTTCCATGCTAAATATTTTACAACTATAAATCTAGACTTCGAGGACCCATAGCCACGAAGATAATAAATTTTAAATATAAATAAATAAATATACAGTACTCAAATTTAAAAAAATGAACTCATACATAATGAAATGGATAGCTTCATCATTTCATAAGAAAAAAATTGGAAAAATGTGTAAATTCAGGAAAACTTGGCTTATTAGGCAAATTGGGCCTTGCATAGTAGGCTGAGAAGTGCATTCTGGCTACTAGGTATGAGACACACACACAAATATATATATATATATATATATATATATATATATATATATATATATATATATATATATATATATATATATATATAATGTCGTACCTAGTAGCCAAAATGCACTTCTCGGCCTACTATGCAAGGCCCGATTTGCCTAATAAGCCAAGTTTTCCTGAATTAATATATTTTCTCTAATTTTTTTCTATTGAAATGATAAAGCTACCCATTTCATTATGTATGAGGTCAATTTTTTTTTATTGGAGTTAAAATTAACGTAGATATATGACCGAACCTAGCCAACCCTACCTAACCTAACCTAACCTATCTTTATAGGTTAGGTTAGGTAGCCGAAAAAGTTAGGTTAGGTTAGGTAGGTCAGATAGTCGAAAAACAATTCATGAAACTTTGCTTATTAGGCAAATTGGGCCTTGCATAGTAGGCTGAGAAGTGCATTCTGGCTACTAGGTACGACACATATATATATATATATATATATATATATATATATATATATATATATATATATATATATTGGTAGCAGTCTTTCCTGTAGACATATATTATTAAATATGACCGAAAAAGTAAGATTAATAATTCTAACACGAATTTTCTCAATCTTTCGTACATTTCTTTTCACTGTTGGTGGTAATTCAAAAATCAATTCTCCAAAATTCATTTTTATTTCTAGTCTAGACTAAAAATAAAAATGAATTTTGGAGAATTGATTTTTGAATTACCACCAACAGTGAAAAGAAATGTACGAAAGATTGAGAAAATTTGTGTTAGAATTATTAATCTTACTTTTTCGGTCATATTTAATAATATATATATATATATATACATATACATACATATACATACATACACATACAGGGTTACCTCAGTTTAAGAGTTTAATCCGTTCCTGGAGACGGCTCGTATTCCGAAGCTAATTTCCCCATAAGAAATAATGGGAAATGAATTAATCCGTTCCTGACTACCCCAAAAACCCCACATCAAACTAAATTTTTATACCTAATTCATCTAAATAAACCTACAAAACTATGTTCAAGCTATTACTTACCTTGCTGTTGAATGCTGTAGGCGTATGCAAGATGGTGAGGAGGGGGGAGGAGGAGAGGAGTTACTGTTTGGAAGGGGAGTCCCCTTCCATTATCACATCAGGCAGTGAGGACTTCACTGGTGAGCACACTGGCACATTTTGCCTGCATACCACTAGGATTTGTTTGTCTTACTAAGAATCTGTCTAAAGACACTTGTTTTCCCTACATTTTAACACTTGTTTGTAGTAAGACATCACATTGTCATTTAAAAGGTCAATGCAACAGCCTGCCACAGCTTTATCTGGGTGAGTTTTTTCAACAGAACTTTGCAGTTCTTCCGATACTTCACACATTTTCTTAATCAAGAAGGGACATCCTGTACTGCCTCTACTCACAGCTATTTTCTTAGGTTGAACCTTATCAATGGCTTTCTTGAGACCCATGGCAAGATATATAATAACTTTTATGCTCAAATGGCCAAAAAACCGGCAAAACTGTAAATCCTTGTGAAGAATTCAGGAGGGATAGTCACTGGGCGGGAGACAATGGTAAACTGAGGGGCGGAGGGGCGATGATCGCCGTACCACCATGCGCTAGGTCGGCCTGAACGCGTATCAACAAACTCGCGTTCCGAGGTAACCCTCGCCTTCCGAGACACATTTTCCGAGGAAATCCAGCTCGTATTCCGAAAAACTCGCATACAGGGACACTTGTATTCCGAGATACCACTGTGTGTGTATGTATGTGTGTGTGTGTGTGTAATTACAGCAAAACTATTTGTTTATTGTTTTATGAACATAATAATTGAATCGCTAATATGCACACCATACTTGTGAGTATAGCGATGATTCACACATTTTATTATATAAATATATCACACTACACACTATTGAATAATATTACTGCAAAAAACTAAGAAAAAATAATCAGAGCCATTGAAATAATTAGGTAACATCATCTTTGTGGCAACTCCCACCTGACAGCTAGGGGTGGAGCAGACTGCACTGATGCTTGCTCTGTCAACGCACGCCTACCTTTTTCCAGACTTCCTTGCCCTATTGCGGCCAAAATGTGCCACCTAAAAATTTTTTTTGTTTTTCCCGTGGTCTGGAAACATAAATGAACATGTATAAGGTGACAAAAAATTTTGGATTTTTTTTTTTTTTGATTGCGCCTGGCGGTGTTGAAAACCATTAAGCCCATAGCCGTCTAACGGTTAAGCTATTCTTAGGGCACCCTTCATTCAGGTACTTGCCCTCATGCTCTGTCTTCTTTAATAGAATGTCTGGTTTTCTGACCCCCTGTTTCTTCACAAAGAATTCTGGGTGCCTCAACTCCTACAGAAACGGACTGTACAGTTTCACTTACAGTGTATTTCACTGTACAGCACTGATTAAGACATTGCCTCAGATTGTGGACTGTCTCTTGGTCACTTTTCAGTGAGAGAGAATGGGGAATTTTCTCATTTATAAGGCTGCTACCACAGTGCTTCAGGTTATTTTCTTTGATTTTTTATTGTACAATATTAGAAAAAGGCAAATGAAAAGTCCAGTACTGTATTGTATCATTATTTATATGATATTATTTTTAGATAGTATATCAATACTTGAAAGATGTATTTAATTTAGTAGAATTTTATATTTGAAATTATTATTTCAGGATGTGTCTTACTTGTGTTGCATAGAGTTAAAAGGCCCAAGAACATCTCTAGTAGCTGGTTTGTCGTGTATAATGCAGCCATCAAGTTTGGTTTTAGTCACCTCTTCACAGGTCCAGCATGGTCAGAGTTGGACATCTGTGATGCTCTTTGAGCCTGGAAGGTAAAATTTGAAATAGTGAATATGAAGTTGCTACACATACATACACAGTTCTGTTTCAAATTTATTATTTCTGATCTAAAGCCCTCAGTTGCTCCCATAGCCAGCTCCTGTAGGGTTCACCTGAGCTGGACCTTACAGGAACTGTCCTTAGGTGCCTCCCCCCCTCCCCTCCTTTTTTTACCTCACAGAACCTTCAGCTGAAGGGTGGAATTAATATTGGATGCTTTGTGAGTGGATTGGAGGAGGTACCCATTTTGTCGAGTTCACTTTTTGCTTTCGACATTGTCAAAGTTGGAGAGCTTTGTGTGCTATATCATTATATTGGTTAGCAAGTGGTCTGTCCACTCTGGTTGCTGTCTCCCAATTTCTTTTCTGTGCCTTCATCTGTGCCAGACCATTGGATGTGGGTTGGGATTAGCCCTAGAGAGCCAGCGCTTAGGTACCAATTAGCTATTTGGGAGCACCCAAAAAAGGGCACTTCATTATATTCGGTGCTTTATTTATATACTGTAATGGGCTTGGACAGCCACCTTTCACCAATTTTGTGGTAGAGGGTCATTACTGGGCTTTACCCCCTCTTAATAGGACCATCCAATGTCTGTTCCATACACCAGACTATTCTCCTTGCAGAGGTGGGTAAGGCTAGCCCCAGGCTTCTAGCCTACATCCTTGGACATACACACACACAGGCAGACAAACAGACATTATTTCTTGTATGTATAGAAGAATGAGTGTATTTACAATAAAAAAAAATATTCATTAATTTTGTCAAGATAAAATAGATTTTCTATTTGAAATATGAAATTTTGTACAGCACAGTATTGTATTTGAAAGGCTGTTGCAATATCATTTGAATTTTTGAAGTTGTACTGTATTATGATTGCACAAATTTGTGAATCGATTAATAGTATCACTTTTATGAAGTTAATGCTTGTTTCCTTTTACACAGACAGCCGTACGGTGCTCTTGGTGATGTAGATATTTTATGGCATCCTACATCCTCTGATATGCCAGAGTGTCAGTCGAAGAATTCGGCAGTTTGGATTTGGGTTCACCCATCTGTTCATAGTCAAGTTGTAGGCGTCTTAGCACAAGTTTTTCAATTACTTAAAATTACGAATGTATCTGAAATTGTTTCAAGAACTGAAAATTCAAGCTGTGATAGAAGCAATGGGAATGAGGTTGAGTTAATGGAAGAGGAAGCTGTAGCTGAAACAGGCAAAATGCTGGAAAATGTTAGTAGTGATAATGTACAAAGTGAATTACTACCGTCGCCAAATAATGAAACGCCTAAAGAAAAGAATGAGAAAGTTACTGATGATTCCATTAAGGATCTTAATAGCATCAAGGATGTAAAGCCAGGAAGTGTTACCAAGTTAAAACTTGAAGGGAAGAATGTCCCCTTTGAACGAACTCCTAAATATGCTTCTAATGATAAGACTGTGACAATGACATTGCTTAAGGACACAATAAATAGATTTCAGCTCACTGGACCCAAATCTTTCTCTGTCTTAATGGCTGCACTCTCTCCTGCCAACATAGCACCTGAAATTGAAGACATTGATGTTGACTCATCAGATAAAAGTCAAGACTCTTTGCATTCTTGGTGGCAACAATATTACCACGATGAAGTCAGATTACTATGTCACCAACAACAAGTAAGTGCTTGGAAGAAATTGGCCTCCTCTCCCCAACCAACACAAGTGGTCTTACCATTGACAGTTCGAGACCCCAGAGTAACTTTGCCACACAAAAAGATACCTATTGCTGCTGTTACATCTGGTAAGTGGATAATTAAGTTCATTTTTATTCATTTTGCTTGAGATGGGAGGGTAATTGCAAACCTTTTGGTTTACTCTAATGGGTTGTTAATAAATAAATTATAAACTTAGTTTTCCATGACCGCACTTTTTTTTTTTTTTTTTTTGTAAGAATTTCTTTTCATTGAATATAAGGTGTAATATTTAATTGATTTTATTTTAATTTTTTTAAACAGATGCATGGTCTTTATTAAACAGTTAAATGTCTCAGGGTATACACCTACAAAGTTACATTATTGGTTAAAGAAATGTGACAGCCACCAGTCCCATGACAACTAAATATTAGTGTTTATATACCAAAATCAAATTTGTCTCAATTGAAAGTGCCACCAAAGCATTCTAACACCTTGTTACCTTGCATAATGATATTTTAACAGAATGGCTCTCGAGGAGCAAGCAGCCAAACATGGGGTTGGCCAATGTCAGTCTCAAGCACAAGAGATACTTGTGCTTCTACTGTCACCCCAAAAAAATTAAACATGCCACCAAAAAAGGCTGATACAGTGTGTTACCATATGTAGTAATATCAGATGCTAATGCTCAGTCTTTCCCACAATAAAATTCACTGAACATTTGGATGGCCAAGTTGATCTTGGACATATGGAAACCAAGAACTGTATGTTATATGAATGTTGCCAACTAGTATTGAGAGGAGGGTGGGTATGATATACATGTTTGTGTTGGTGAAATAACTACCCGACTGAACACACGGCACTTGAATGGTTGAATACAGCACATTTGGATGGTTGAACACATGGGAAGCTTGCTAACTTTATCCACCTGCAAATACTGGTTAATATGTCTTGGGTATTAATTGACTAGATTATTGTTTAATTTGAAGGATTTATGTCTTGTACTATTCATACCATAAGTTTTCAAAAATGCATTAGTTATATTTTTATATCTAATTTGAGCACAAACTTTCGTAGGTGACTGTGCTGCATAGTCTTTCCAGATGCGGCATAGTCATAGATGCGTTATTTTGATAATTACTTTCTCTCTTTCTTAAACGATTGGACATTGGTGACTTTAGTCCATTTTCTTTCAACATACCTACCTTGTGCTACACATTGGTGACCTTTTATGTTTGTAATACTCACCTTTTACAACATTGGCTCCTGTAAATGACTTTTTATCGGTTAAAATTTTCTCATTAATCTTTCTCCAGTTTTGATCATTAGCCTATTTATGATATAGATTTGGAAGATTTATTTGCAATTAATTATCATCACAGTTCAGAGGAAGTCTGGATTACATAGAACACAGAGCTCATGGTGTATATAAATTCATTATATAAATAAAGGTATCTAGTAATTACAGCGAATGCATTTCTGATAAGAAAGTCCCTAAAAGGTTTTGGGCAGGTAACTTTGTCAAATGCTTTGGAAGCATCCAAAAACAAATAGGGCAGGTCTGCCATGTGAGTTGTAGTTAAAGAAGGGCTGTAATTTACAGTATATAAAAAAGACCATTATATATTGATTATATATTCTAGAACAAACAGAGAAGGTAGAGCATCCAGACTGGCCAGCATTCAGTCCGCTGTATGACAGTAAAGTGAGAGATATAGTATCACAGTCTAAGGAGCCTGACGCCCTCATCAATAAACGCAGATCACAACTTTTAGTACCTGGCTCGGATATACCTGAAAGCATAGAAGAGATGCGGCTCCCAGTTCTTCTGCTTTCAAGACCACCCACCTCAAGAAAACAAGGTAAGGCATGGACAGTATGTCTTTTTCCTGGTAAAGTTGGACATATATAAATAGTGACATTTTCTTTAGTTGATAGGATGTTACAGCTCTGTATATTACTGTGTCCATATCCAATATGTTAGAGAGATCTACTAGGGATTGAACTGCTACTTTACTGAATTGAATGACCTGAGCGGAGATATACTACTATTACTGAATCCCAATGGCACCACATATGGGGTGCATTGCCAGGTCATGAGACTTTTGCTGTGGATGCATTTTGCTTGGAATAGTTGCCAGTCTTACCTTTACCTTTTCTCTCTGGTCCACCTGCTTCATTCTCGGCTGGTCAGGCTGAAGACTTTAGCAGCCACATCCTTCTCACTTCCTTGCTCCCACATAGTAAGTTCAGCCAGAGTTCTGACTCCTAGCCTTCAACCCTCATCCCTTTCTGAGACACTGCCTTTCCCAGAGGATTAGCTGCATGACTTACCTGGTGATTTGAGACTGCCAATCTTCATATGTATGGAGTTTTGAGGCCTTGTGTTCTGCCACCTATATGAATCTTGTGGTGGACCTCTTAGTGGCTTTCTGCCGTCTTCTCCCACAGCTAAGCCCTGGCTGCATTTTGAAATTTACAAATTTTTTCTGGGGGGAGCCCTGGAGGCTCCTCAGAGCTGAATGGATATGTATATCTTTCTGGCATCAGTCAATGCATGGAGTTCTTGCCTACCGGGAACCATGAGCCAGAACCTGGCACCCTCTAGAAAGGCACAAGAAGCAATGGACTATAGAGAGACCCCAGAAAGATATACATATCCATTCAGCTCCGGGGAGCCTCCGGGGCTCACCCAGAAAATGGTGTTTCATTACATTCAATGCTGGATTTTTAGAAATGCTGGCCACCTCTTATCTAGGGACACATGTGATTTCGCTTAAGGGAGCTACCAAAGAAGCCCTCTTAGAAATCAAACATTAAATGTAATGAAACACCCTTTTTAGTTGAGTTCTCAGTAGTGCTTTTTACCCATCCTCTGCCTTTCTTTCCAATGTGGTTAAAAAGGTTTATTTTGGCAGCTTTTAAATAATTAAGGGTGCGAGCATCTGAGACTAGATGATCTGGGCTGCAGCCTGGTGGAGGTCAGGTACAAGTCGGAGTGTTTACGTTATGGCAACAATCATTTGCCCTTGGTACCATTGATTACCTAAATTTATTCAAGCAGTTGCTTGTTTTCATTGGCTTATGCTTTCTGATAGTGATTTTAGGTTTTGGGTTATCTCAGATCCCCAAGTTCTTAATATGTCCCTAATATATCTGGCCTCCTAGAGAGAGAGCAGGATTCTGGTCCTGACCCCTGGTGAGGAAGAGTAGGTCTCAAAGGAATGGTGCATCTTGGTAAAGCATAGCTGGAATAGCACTTAGCTTGTAGAGCATTTTATTACATTCAATATTTGATTCTTGCTGTCCACTTCTTATTTTGCCTTCTTCCAAACTGCAGGGGATTTTGAAGTTTGACATTTTGGACATTGACATTCTGCAGGTAAAAAGCTGCACTTGCCTCTTCAATAAATATAGTTCTGTTTTTGACTGAAAAAAGTTCCTTGAAGTTTCCTGAATAAGGTATTGTCAATCAGTTTAACACCAGTTAGCCTAGAAAGCACTGACTTACACATGTTTGCTTGTGGTGATCCACTTCACCACAATTGTCATTACAAATACAACAATTACCATTACAGCTATGGTCACACCCAGCACTAGACACAACTAGTAACCAAAATAATGACTACAGACTCGCACTGCATACACATCAACTACAAATGCAACCACCACCACCCCATACTAATTACATTGTACTCACTATACCAGCTTGTGCTCAGTACACATTTCTTAATTGCATTTGTGCAAATAGTTGAGCATTTTATTATTTTTTTAGAATTTGTATTGTAAAACAATGTAGCATACTTTCATTAACAAAAAAAAGAATGAGCAATGTGCAAGCTTGACTCTTATAGGTTTCTGTTACTTGAGCTTTGTTACCTGTTAAATAGAGAATTATATTTACTTTTGCAGGTAGCGGTTGGGATGTTGTAGTGGCTGCAGGTTGGGGCATGAGTGTTTGGATGCCACTAATTTTCTGTGGTGCTGCTGTAGGGGGTCAGCAGGAATCGGAAAATCTGAATATGGAAATACTCTCTCCTCTACCTCCTCATCTTTTGCCAGACACACCAGCTGGGAACTACTATTCAGCATGGCTCGGAAAGCAGAAACGTACTCAGTTCTTTAAAAGGCCTCCTGCAAATAGATATAATTTCATAAAATTGGGTGTTCAGTATCCATTCTGTGCACCATGGAGAAAGCTTTTGCAAGAATGGGAACCTGGTACCCAAGATATCTATGTTCTCAGAGACATAAGGCTTGTGAATGGGTTATGTCACATGATTGGGGATGCCATTAAAAAGTTCAGGAAACGTGCATCTAAGAGAAAGGCAACTAACAACTTGGAAGATATTCCTCACAAGAAGTTGCAGACATGTAAATCTGAGGGAAATATTTATGATTTGAGTGTTTTTTCTAGTGATGATGGTGCAAGTAAAGATTCAGAAGTTATTAAGAAACCCTTAACTGAATCCCACAATTACAGTGAACAATTCCATGAATTGCTTTCACAACGCTGCAGTCTTGAGGAATTTCAAAAACTGAATTATGGCTGCTTGGTAACAGTGAAGCTAATATTGCAATATAAAGGAATTCTTGAACCATATGCCATGATCTGCCTTCCACATGAAGATGATATAGAAGCTAGAGACAAGTTAATGATGCCAACTAATAAGAAGGAAAGCATCTTAGAGTTCCCACACGATGATACGCAAGTTGACAAGAGAACTAAACTGAAGGAGGAACATGCCAAAATTAAGGTATACAGCATATCACAAACTGAAAATGTTAATTTTGCCACTATTTATATGTACATTATAAATTAGTTTTCTGTTAACCCTTAAAGGGCAGTTATTGTTATACGTTGATTCAGAGGTAATGTGGTTACAATATCACCATATGTTGTTTCATATTATTTTTTTTTTTTTTTTAACTAAGACTAGGGTTTATTAGGGCTGTTAAGTCATATACCTAGTGAAACTGCAACCAAGAGCTGTTATCCTACTTCCGCTCATCTGAAGCCTGTCCCTAGAGACTCATTTATTTCATGAGATTATTATGAGTCATTATTATCATGTCAGTTCACCTAGATTTTGGGCAAATTTTCTAGCATCCTCTCTGATTTTGATGCAGTTTAGTACATTTCTGGGGGGAGCCCCATCAGCTCCCCAGAGCTATCCAGGCTGAATGGATATGTATATCTTTCTGGTATCGAGTTCTTGCCTACCAGGAACCACGAGCCAGAATCTGGCCCCCTCTAGAGAGACACGAGGAGCAATCTGTGATTGGGAGCATTCTATGTCTGCCATCAACCGGGACAGGTGCCCAGAAAGGTAGGCGCCCCAAAACAAACCCTTATTCTGGTAAAAAAATTACGACAGAAGGCCGAACAAGTGAACAGAACTCCCCAAATGAAAATTAGCAAACTAGCATGACGTCATCATGTCGCCGTGCCGCTGTTTGCGCACCCCCCCCCCTCTCCCTGGGAGGGGGAAGAGGGAGCCCCAGACCCACCCGCCGGCAACCCAACCTTCAGTTTTTAGGGTGATGGGAGTCTGGTGTGGTCGTGCCTCTGGGTCCAGTTTTTCATTACAGTTCTGTCCCTTGTGGTGTAGGCTGTCCCTTCAAGTGGTGCGTGAGCCGGGAGTGATGTTCCACGGTACTCGGGTTGCATGCACCTAGGGTAACCTTCCCTAGGTGCCCTGTAAGTACTGCCCTTGGGGCTTGGGGCCACCTTTCACAAGTCACCTCGGGATCTACCTCTGCTGTGCCGTTTACTGCTTGGTATTTGGCCGCCCTTGGGGTCAGCTGGGGGTTTTTATTACCCTCGTTAGTCTCTGGGTAGGGGATAGTTTTCGTCACTGGCAGGGGCGCGGGGTACTGCACAGCTAGTTTTCACCAATAACAGCGGCCGGCTCTGTTCTGCCTGGGTATGTTGTCCTCTTGTGGGGTTTTTCTTTTGTTTTGGTTTTCTGCCTGGTGGGGGGGTCTGCCTTTGTTCGCGGTACCCTGCCTGGGCTTCCCTTAGCATGTACCCAAGGCTAAGGGCCCTGGGGAAACCCCCACGGGGGCTCCGTGGTCCTATGGGTGTGTCCCCAGAGTCCCCCTAGCGTCCTGCGAGTTTGACACAATGGAATGGAGTTATAGGCCTACCAGGGATCACGAGCCAGATCCTGGCCTCCCCTCAGAGAGGCACAAGGAGCAATGGTCTAAAGAAACCCCTGTGTGGTGGAAGCATTCTTTGTCTGCCATCAACTGAGTCAGGCACCCAGAAAGATAAACACCCCAAAACAAACCCCCTATTATGGTTAAGAAACTGCTACTGAAAGCCAAACTAGTGGATAGAACTCCCCATACGAAAACGAGTGAACAAACATGACGTCACCACATTGCTGCACCACTTGTCTGCGCAGAAGGGGGAGCCCCCAGACCCTCATGCTAGCTATCCATGCCCCAGTTCTGAGGCTGGATGTCAAAACATGCGAAAAACCGCTGACCAAAAGGGGTGGGTTGCTGGGGAGCCTCCGGGTCTCGCCCCAAAAATGGAGTTTCATTACATTCAACGCTGATTTTATGGTGTCTCCTTCAGTACAGAATTGTTCTAGAAAGCGTTGTCTTGCTTTCTCTGGTGTCCGGTTGTCAGGTGGGTGCACTTCATTCTCTTCTTTGGCACCTGGGCTTTTGTACTGTTGGTCCTAGTGTATGCTTTGTTCGTCTGCAGGTGTGTCTTCTTTTCTGATGAAGAATGACTTGGTTTGCTTCAGGAGGGGCTTTCTGGTTGTGGATGCATGGTTGGTTCAGCCGAGAGAGCATCAAGTGCTGTGTCCGGTGGCAGCTGTGCGTTGCTATTTTTATGCCCCTGGTTCTGCTTCAGTGGACTCTTGTGTGTTGATCTGGTTTTCCTAGTTCCCTGTTCTAGGGTTCATATTTTTCAAGTTGTCCGCCATGTCATCAAGTTTAGCCAGCCTGCAATCTACTTTTGTTCCCATGATGTACATAAGTATGCCGCTCTTTTGGCTGTCTTTGCATGTGGGCTGATATCTGAGCACAGGGGGTTTTGGCGGTCTAACAGGGTCGTGGCAGCCAGGTATCTTGTGAACATTCCCAGTCCTCAGTGGCCTTGTGTTGCATTGAGTCATGTCGTGGCTGGTTGTCTTCTTCACTTCGATGCCTGTGGTGCTTCCTCCTCCTTGATAAGTCCTTTATGTTTTTTCCTCATGGGTAAATAGCTTCAGGGAGCTGCAAGGGGCTCCCCCAGACAACCAGTGTTGACTGTAATGAAACGTCAATTTCATTACATTCAACTTTACATTCAATTTCATTACATTGACTCCCTTTCCCAGGGTGTTGGGTTGGTTTCCATCATCGTAAGGACTGGTGGTGGAGCAGCCAACTGACCCAGTCTCCCTCCCTCTTTACCCCCAAATGAGGGGAGGAGGGAGGGTGAACTAACTCACTTTAGTTTCACGAGTCTCTGATAGTTTGTTTACATTGTTGGGAGAGTTCTTTTGATGGTTTTGAGGCTGTGGTCTTGGTTCTAACCAAGCAGTGGTCTGTTTTGTTGTGTTGACTCTCTGGGTGCCTTCCTTTGCTGGTGGCAGACATGAATAAATTCACAAAAAAATTTTCCCTGCTCCTCTCTTGATGGGGACCAGGTTCTGGCTCATGGTCCTAGGTAGGCCCATAAGAACTATGTGACTGATGGCACCTAGTTGCGGAGTTCTTTCTTTAATGCCTTTTCAAATAATTTGTATGTTGTGTGTGGCCTATTTTCTCCTATTCTACATTCCACAACGTGGCATTTATTCACATTAAATTCCATCAGCCAAGTGTTGCTCCATACACTTTGTCCAAGTCATCTTGAAGGGCTTGACAGTCAAGCTTCTTATTTTCCCAAATATTTTGGCATGATCAGTAATGTTCATTTATCTCTATATTCCTTTTGGCATGTCATTCATATAGATAATGGACATTACTGATGCTAAAACTGAACCCTATGGTACACCATTTGTAAAATTTCTCCAGTCTGATACATTGCCTCTGATTACTGCCCTCATAATTCTGTTAGAAAGTTTTTCATCCATGTCAGAGGTCTTCCTGTCACCCTTCTAGTAAATTCCAGTTTCCAAACAACCTCTTATGTGTGACTTGGTCAAAAGACATTTTTTTTAGGTCCACATAAAGGCAGCCAACCCAACTCAAATATGGAGCTACCTCAGCGAGTTGGCTACAGGAAGTCACTGAGGCCCAACCAGAAAGTCATTTCATTACATTCAGTCCTGGTTTTGCTTTCTCAGATTCCTATGAATAATGACACCCAGATCGTGTCTTGGTATTAAGCAACACCATGTCTCCTAACCGCATATATTTATTGACTTCTAGATCTAAATTTCTGACATCCAAAGACTAGGAATTTGTAAACCAAAAATAATTTTCAATAGGTTTAAGTTCATATTTAATCCTACTCCTGCCTCTTCCATATGTCTTTTTTCATACATTGCTTCTTGCATTACAGTACAGTATATATATTTTTCAGGGAAGACTCCAACGTTTGAGGCGTAAAGCGAAGTTAAAACTGACGATGGAAAAAGACATAGTTGCCATGGCAGGAAGCAGCGGGAGTATGGAAAAGGCAACTACTGATGCACTTATTAAAGTGAATGAAGAAAATAAGGTTAGTTCATTTTTTAAGTTTTACTTACATAGTAAATTGACTTTCTGAGCTGTGTACTCTTGGTAGCCCCCTCTATACCTCATGCTCTTGACCTATATTTCCCAGAAGGGAAAATGAAGGTTATTTCCATTTTAATTTTTAAAAGTGGCAGGAAGCTTAGTTTACCTCAAAGCCTGGTGGATAGCGCACAGGACTCGTAATTCTGTGGCGCGGGTTCGATTCCCGCACGAGGCAGAAACAAATGGGCAAAGTTTCTTTCACCCTAAATGCCCCTGTTACCTAGCAGTAAATAGGTACCTGGGAGTTAGTCAGCTGTCACGGGCTGCTTCCTGGGGGTGGAGGCCTGGCCGAGGACCGGGCCGCGGGGACACTAAAAAGCCCCGAAATCATCTCAAGATAACCTCAAGATAACCTCTAAACTAAGCTTGAAGTATTGGAAGCTTAAGGTATTTACCTAATACCTCAAGGTAACCTGTCACTGTGACATTCAGTGACCCCTTCAAATCATTTGGATCTCCCTCCTAATGAAACTTGACCACTCGAATACTAACCAAAAATTTTTAAAATGGCTAAATGCTCATCACCAACAACTGCTAGAGGACAGCACTGCTGTGTAAACTGGCCAGGAAAGAGGGCAAGTCCTTGCACATCCAACATTTTGTATCTAATTTCTTTCATGCTTCTGTTCAAGAATACTCATTTTTAAAACCTGTGTTTTAAACCATTTTTTAAAACCTAGGGGGGAGCCCCTACGGCTCCCCAGAGCTATCCATGGCTGATATGGATACCCTAACTATTTTGCATCAGTCAATGTGGGTGGAGTTCTAGCCTACTGGGGACCACGAGCCAGAACCGCAAGTCTTCGCGTTTGGTGTTTTTGACTCGTGTTTATCACCATCTCTAAGGTGAGTAGGTGGCTTCTTTGTTGGTTTCTCACCAGCGGGTTTCCTCTCGGCTGCAGTATGAAGTTTCCTGGCGGTCCTTCCAGTTCTTTTTGGCTCTTCGGAATTGTTCCTCGCTTTCGGTTCGAGTGGTGTTGTCCTTTCTCTCTTGGTTGTTCCAGGACCGTCATCTGATGCCTAATACTGTCGCCTCATATTGTGCGGTGCTGGCAAAGCTCCTGCAGCTTGCTTTCAGTATTGATGTTACTTCTGCACAGTTTCACAAGCTGTCTCGTGTGTTGTTTCACCTCCGGCCTGCTCATGCACCGCCTGAGCCATCCTGGTCTTTGGACAGAGTGCTCTCATATCTTTCTTTTTCTCTGCTTGTTGTGGCCCCTTCAGTTCAGGATTGCTTTGCTAAGGCTCTTTTTCTGTTGGCAATGGCCTTTGGGGGTCATGTGGCGGAGCTTCATGCTCTTCTCAGGCGCAGAGGTTTTTGCTCCTTTGGTCTTGATCGTAGGTTTGTTCGTCTGCAGCCGTCTCCCTCTTTTCTGGTGAAGAATGAGACTGCTGCTTTCCGGAGGGGTCCTTGGGTTGTTCGTGATGCTTGGTTTGTCAGGCCGGGGGTTCACCATGTGTTGTCCGGTTGCGGCCCTCTGCCATTATCTGCTTGCTACGGCTTCTGTGTCCGGGGACGCGCTTTGGGTTGATCCAGTTTCCCTTCTTCCCTGTTCGCTGGTTCGGGTCTCTCAGGTAGTCTGTAGGGTTATTAAATCTAGCCAGCCTGCAGTCTATCCCCATGCCCATGACGTTCGTAAGTTTGCTGCTCTTGCTGCCGTCTTCGGCAATATGTCTTGGGCTGACATTCGGGCACGGGGTTTTGGCGGTCAAACAGGGTCCTGGCTGCATGCTACCTTGTAGACGTTGCTGGGGCCCAGTCGGGCCTGTGTTGCTTTAGGTCGGCGGATGCAGCCCGTTGTCTCGACTTTGAGATGAGGAGTGGAGCACCGACCGCCTCCCGGATATGTCCCCTTGTTTTCTTAAGTAGTCTTTGGTGAAGTAGCTCCGGGGAGCTGTAGGGTCTCTTCCCCCCCCCCCTCAGAAAACCAGTGTCGAGTGTAATGAAACACCATTTTCTGGGTGAGTTCCGGAGGCTCCCCGGCAACTCTCCCGCCCTCCAGTTGGCGGTTTTTCGCGATTTTTTATATCTAGCCTCAGAACCGGGGCGGGGATCGCTGGTTCGGGGGTCTGGGAAGGGGAGCTGCGCAGACATGCGGCGCGGCTCGTGTGATGTCATGCTTGTTTGCTCGTTTTTTTTTGGGGGGGGGGAGAGTTCTGTCCACTCGTTTGGCGATTTTCATTGTTAACCATAATAGGGATTTGTTTTGTGGCGCTTACCTTTCTGGGTGCCTGTCCTGGTCGATGGCAGATACAGAATGCTCCAAATCACATGTGCATTTCTATGGGTCATTGCTCCCCGTGCCTCTGTGAGGGGGCCAGGTTCTGACTCGTGGTCCCCGGTAGACTAGAACTCCACCCACATCGACTAATGCAAAATAATTAGGGTATCCATATCAGCCATGGATAGCTCCGGGAAGCCTCCGGGACTCACCCAGAAAATGGCATTTCATTACATTTAACGCTGGTTTTTATGGTAGCAACCATTAAATGCTACCAGCAGTTGGCAACAGGATTAAATATCATCCTCTGGAACATTGAAGGTCCAAAAAATGTACAATTAGGCTTACAGTATTCACTGTAAACTAACACTGTAAACTAATTCGCCACAGGGAATTAGTGGTGAAACTTGAGTTGCCTTACGGTAACGGTGGTCCATGTATGACATTGGTACCAGCACCGTTTCTCATGCAATGCAGTTACGGTACTCGTACTTCTTACAACAGAAGTTGGAAAGTTAAGAGAATGAACTTAGCTTTTTAATACCAAAATCAATGTTTTAAGCCTATAAATAGTTTTGCAAACCAAAAATGAGTTTTGTAATAAACCTCTTTAGGCATTGCACGGTGTATGGGCTGGCACATAAAATTATGCATCACTTTCCACATTTTATTGAATAAATATGACAGTAATTTTTTTATTTTTCTTTAGTGGTATTGATCGATTATATGCACACAAATGTGAATGTGTGCTCCTCTTTCTAGCTATCTGCAAAGGAACAAGTTTCAGATAGACTTTACTTGCTTTGGAAATCAGTTGTTCTATTCCTTGCACATAGATAAAATCAATTCTCCTTGGTATGGAGAGAATGAAATCCACTGGGAATGGTGAAGTGCCAAAAGTGGTCAATTTTGATTGACAAGAGAAATCTGAAGAGTTTAAGTTGAGAGTAGAGAAGCCAGGGAAGGAAAGTGTCTGGCGTTGCAAAAGCACTTGATATACAGAAAGCTACATATAGGAATGATGATGCCAACCTTTGTGCACAGTTGCTAGACAATGGTGTGGTATGAACATGAAAACTCATGTTAAAACAGTAGAAATGGATAATCTGAGAAGCATATGTTGTGTAAGGAGAATAGATAGAATTAAGAATGAAAATTTCATTAAGTTATGTGGAGTGTAAAGGTCAATAAACTAGGTAGAGGAGAGTGTACTGAAATGGTTTGGTCATGTTGAATGATTGGATGATGGCAGGTTGAAGAGCTTGTATTAGAGTGAATTTGATGATAGGATAAGGAGTGGAATGCCAAGAAGGATGTAAGTGGACGTGATGGAGGGTATGAGGAAGCATGGAGTGAGTGAACAATGCACAAGATAGGGTAAGAAATAAAGCTAGGTGGAAGAGGTTTAATAGGAGGGAGTGAATGTGTTTGTTTTGAAAGGCCTCAGACAATTCACAGGAATCACTCTGCACCTGGCCTTGTGGTGCGATAGAGTGCTCTTGAGGATGCTGCAGGAGTGTGACAGTGCTTGTTTATCCCTGATGCTTCACCACCTCATGAAACTGGGAAATGAGGCAATAATGTGATTTAAATCTGATGATTAAAATTGGATAAAATTTTATACTGTATATTCATATATAAAAAGTTTTATTTTTTACAGGTGATCCTTGCCAAATACTCTTCATTCCAAGAAGAGATGGAAAATGCATGGTTAATGGAAACGAATAAGCCATTACAGTGCTGTTCACGCAAGATAATGGGTTACGTTATAAATGGTAACTTTTGCCAAACTTTAGGAAGAGGTGCAGGTATTGGTTGGGTTGCTCTTAAACCACTTTTAGAATTTTTTCAAGTATGTAAAAAAATAAATGAAAAATTTGTTGAAAGTAATAATGACTCAGAAACTCATGATAGAATCAGAATAGATAATGAATTCCAAATAGACAACAAATGGAAGTATTCAGTGTTAGTAAGGAATCCATCTGGTCTACAATACCACTGGGCAAAACTCTTAATAGTTAACCACTAACAGTGAGATAAGATGATTGGTTCTTAGTATCGCATCTTTAAATATTAAATAAAACATTAAAAATGTTTTAAAGAAACCTCTTTACTGAAAATGTCTTACAGAAATGTATAATTCCTTTGAATGAGGATTAAGAATTTATTGTACAGTATCTTAAATTAATGTTAAATGTAAAGAGAGAGTAGGTGGAGCATCTGACTTAATAAACACAACTTGAATTTTGTAAGGTTTTTTTATAATGTATTCCTTACATTTATTGTCATTATCAGTATTATTCCATTTCCCAATTTCATAGTTTATATACAAAAAGGAGATTAAAGATACTCTAACATTGATCCACTAACCATACCCTCAACACAAAACACATCACATCACATAGAAACAAATCTATGACACTTCATCATAACATCCACTGCAGCACTCCACTCCTTTATGAATAGATGTGAAGCACTAGTTTAACTGTTTCATGTTCATGCCATACCAGTCTCTAAGCACCAGGACTAACCAATCCATATAGCCTGTCATTGGTGAGGTGGTCACAGTACTGTGTATGTTTAGGGAGGGGTCCTGAGAGGCATGTGTTCGAATCCTGGTCGGATCATTTAGAGTTCTTAGTGATCTATTGCTTGTGCAATCTTGCAGCCGTTCTCATATTTGTAGATTCAGCGCAGCCCATGCGTGTGTCGCAATTTGATGAAAAATTGTACCCAAAATGAACCACGAGCGTAGACGAGGTTGGGTAGTCATGGTGCTTAGTTAATAAGTACAAGAACTAACCAATCCTTATAGACTATCATTGGTGAGGTAGTCACACGACTGTGTACATTTAGGGGTGATCCTGAGCGGCATGGGTTCAAATCCTGGTCAGGTTATTTAGAGTTCTTAGTGATCGATCTATTGCGTGTGCATTCATGCAGCCTTTTTCATATTTCTCATATACAGTTGTGATAAAAAAATGGATGTTAGTGCAGTCTCTCTAGGACAGATGTAATGCCAGTGACATTAAACAAAAAAAAAAGCAAAAAAAGTTAGGCTGCAAGTTGAATCTTCACATTGAGATAACTGTAGGATAAGACACAGAACAAAAATTTAAAAATACTTTACTTAATTAATAAGAATGACCTTAAAAAAATTACAAAACAAAAAATGATATTGAAGCTTGGCTTGATACAAAGAGCGCAAATCAAACAAGACAAACAAATAATTAAATTTACGTTACGTTAATGTGCAAATACTAGAAAATGGTGCGGGAATACTGTGAGCTAACACTGCATAAGTCTGTTGCCACACAGAGGTATGTCAATAGACCTAGTCAGTAGAGCACTCGGGAGTAATCTGGCTTGCTGGAGCTGGCAAGCCTCTATAGGAGAAACAACCGTCCAGGTGGCGCTGATGTTGTTCATAACTGGGAACCGACTCACTCTAACCACCATTACAATTGTTTCTCGGGTGGCATGATCCAGGAGCCAAGTGCAAGGGCTGACGGGCCCTGGGGGAGGTAGACTGGTGGTACTGTACTCTGTCTAGACGTCTGGGAAGTAGTAGTAGTAGTTGTTCTTGGGGCTGCAGGGCTTGAATAGGTAGACGTGGTATAAGAATAGGTGATAATGGAGTAGGCCGAATCTCTTCCTAGAGAGATTACCGTGACACAGTGGTTTATATACCTTAGATCCATTTTTAATAGATCAATTAAAGGGCGATTTGAGTAGGATCATTGGAACACATTTGTCAAACTAATTCATTGTAAATATTTACTATCTTATGCTATGATTATCCATGTGTGGTTATGTATGGGAGCTGCATCGGATGGGCCAATAGGCCCTCTGCAGTTTTTGTGCGGCTCATATTTGTGTCCACTTATTGTACCTCACCTCACTCCACCATTCTCTCCTGCTTATTTATGTCCAGTATTCGACTTGTAAAACCACTCCTTCTGAAGATGTAATAATAACACTTTCGTCCAGGCATGACGCAATGCTGCGTCATCAGTTTACTGTCCGTAGTCTCGGGGATGACGCAATGCTGCGTCGTCCACTAAAATAATCGCCAAAAATCAGTTTTTTATCCGATTTTTGGGGGACTGTTTGGTAACTGTCCACAAGCCGAATGCAATCTGTGACTACAATACAAACATGAAAGGTGTTGATCACTTTGGCCAAATGATCAAATATTATCACTTCATAAGGAAAACTCACAAATGGATGAAAAAAATGACCATCTATTTTGTGCAAATGGCTATCTACAATGCTTATGTGATGTACAACTACAACACAAAAAATACTAAACTATAATACTAAATATACTAAAACACTAAATACTAAACATTTGTGGGCAGGAATTGGGAGTGTAGCTGGAAGGCGTCTGGGCGCTCACTTGTGGCTAACGCGTGGCCCGTCTTCAACTCGTCGGCGGGTGGAGCGTGACCAGGTTTTTTATTTTATATGCTAATATTCCTCTAGAGAATTCTATTGCGAACCCATTGATACCAAAATGAAAGACCTAAGACGAAAATTGAGGTGACCAGAGTGAACACATTTTATATACATGAACATTTTATATATATTTTATATATATGTCGTACCTAGTAGCCAGAACTCGCTTCTCGGCCTACTATGCAACGCCCGATTTGCCTAATAAGCCAAGTTTTCATGAATTAATTGTTTTTCGACTACCTAACCTAACCTAACCTATAAGGATAGGTTAGGTTAGGTATATATATATATATATATATATATATATATATATATATATATATATATATATATATATATAAAATAACAGCAATAAACTGTATATCACATAAAGTTTGCTATACAGTACTGGCATGTGGTAAAAATATAAACATATTGTTTTATACGCAGCCTCGTTGATAAGAGCCAACATAACGGTGCCAGGGAATGAGGCGTGTACCGCCGATAAAGGCGTGTGGTATACACACGAGCTATAATTAACCTGCGCCTTAACAGCTGGGTTTACTGACCCTACCACGTGTTGGATGATGACGTCACTGGTAGTGGTGACGTCCCCTGTGCTCGTTGATGACGTCACTGGTTAGCTGAGATGTCACGTGCGTTGGCTGATAATGAGTCTCCTGCCCACCATATGTTTATAGTGGCCTTGAAGGGAGCCATGAAGTATATGCGACTTTATACACCTGTTTTTGTCAAGTCACAGTTGTCGAGTGTAGCACATCTTTTGCCTCATGGCTTCGTCAGTAGCTTGTAACTTGTGCTACATAGCCTTCCCGGTTTGGTGCCTTCTATTGCTAATTACTTACTTACTTGTAACTTACTTATTTATCTGTAGAAAAGTAATGCTCCCTGTTGTTGTTTTTGTTTTGCGTGATAATGTTTCAGTAACGTTGTAGGCTTACTTTAAAGTATCATTCATCAGGAAAGTAACTAGTGTAACAGAGATTCAACGTTAATAATCCAGCCCAATCCTGGTTGATCAGTCCGGCAACCAGGAGGCCTGGTCGACGACCGGGCCGCGGGGACGCTAAGCCCCGGAAGCACCTTAAGGTAACCAAGGTATCCTTTAGTTCCAATATGGTGCGGAATATCCTCATTAAAACACCACTTACAGTATTTAACCAGTTCATCCACTCGTCATATCATTTTTTTAAATAAGATATCAATAGCCAAAGCATTGGCTAAATATATCCAGTCAACCAAAAGATTAGGTCACATTTGACCTACTGATAAAGCTTTAACCACCAGGAAAACTGAACCCAAACAGTTTGGGTTCTGGTCGTTACTGTTTGGGGAACAAAACATCCAGTCCTCGCTGCCAAGTGCATCAAGACTTGACTCTTAAAACACGTTTGTGTCAACTGAAAACAACAAGAAACTACTAATTTGAAGCGTTGCCAACTACACACTGACGTGCCGTTGTGACGCGTCTCCCAACACGTCTTAGACCAGCACACACTGATTGCCACATGTACACATAACAAAAATATATATAAATTTTATATATATATATATATATATATATATATATATATATATATATATATATATATATATATATATATATATATATATAATTATAATAATAATAATAATATATAATGGCCTCCCTGCCTACCCACACACCTTGCAACCATGGGGTACCGCAAATTATGTTATCCCGAGAAGTGAGCCAGATAGTAGCGTTGATTGTTATCTTAACCGGATATCTGAGCCAGAGGGATAGCGCAGATTATTGTGCAAGCTGCTGTCTGGTGACAACAGTTGTTTAAAGTGTCCCTGCCGCTCAAGGTCGATAATCAAGAAGTTAATGCTACAGCGAGATCTTTTGTATTCTATTGTTGCTCGGTATTGTTTGTACGTCCCTGATAATACACATAATATTGAGGGAAGAGAATGAATAGACGTGTTTATTGTGTCTTCACGAGGAGATTACATTATAGTGCTCCCTCCCCTGCTACTCCCATCTTCTATATTGCTGGGAGATCGTTGTACAGTCGTTCAGTAGTTCAGTAGTTCAGTAGTTCAGTTGGGTTCGTTCTCGACTCACAGTCTGAACTTGTGGGTTCCAGTCCCAGACGAGACAGAAATGGTTGGGTGTATATCCTATCACCTAATTGACCTGTTCACCTAGCAGTAAATAGGTACTTAGGACTTAGCTTCTTGTGGGGTTGCATCCTGGGGAGGGTTAGAAAATAAATTTTGTTGGTGACCTCGATATAAGCCAAAAATGTACAGTACTCTGGCTTATATATACTATATAAGCCAAATATATACAGTATATATACTCAGCCAGAGACTGAACCAATCAAGAGGTGTCGCCTCCCTATCTCTGTGGCTGAGAGTGGGGCTCATATTGATGATTGATTGGCTGATAAAGATTAAGCCACCCAAAAGGTGGCACGGGCATGAATAGCCCGTAATCACATTGATGAGAGCTCTCATGATAAAAACCATATGCTACTTGGTTGAGCTCCTGACCTAGTTTTTGTAACCTCGCCTACCTCTTGTGTATGCAAAGGACAGAACTAGGCATTATGGAAGTGTATGGAACTAGGCATTAGAACTGGGGCGCACTTGAGAGTAGCTACTAGTGATTAAGGCTTTCTAACGTGTGAAAGTAACGTCTACTTAGTGTAGACAGCGGTTGTGGCGAGCCTTCCTTGATGGGTAAGTTGATCGGAGATGCTACTGGTGACTTGAAGAGTGTCCTGTGTCCATATCAAGTCATCGAGCTGATTCATAATCGAGT